AGGAGAAAGCGGTAGCAAGATCTTGCAAGGAGAACAAATATGAAATAAAATAATGGAAATATTGTGAAGGAAATAACCTAGTAGAAAGAAAGAAACAAAAAATTTATTATAACCCCACCCAAAAATTAGAGAAGAATGGTTGAAAATGAACAAAAGGACATGAAGAAAGAATATAATGTTTATGAGAAGAAATGTTTATAAATGAAATTGTTGGGTGGCGAGGACACAATGATATATGGGATAACAAAATATCAAGGAAATGATAGTAGACATGATGAAAATAAAGATAAGAGCGCAACCACACAAAGTGAATGCTCTCACTCTCGTGAAAGTCTTGATGTATTGTGTTTAATTTTGAAAATCAATAAGACTGGGACAATGCCATCGCTTTTAAAAAGGATGGAAAACAAATGACAAAACACTAATAACCTAAGGCAAAAGTCCTTCACCAATTAGTGACTAGTATTACAATTAGCCTAAAATGCAAAACCGATAAGAGATGATCCTTTACTGGCCAATTCGCTTAACCCCTGAGATTTGTAGAATATAGTTGATGATTGATTGATTGATTGATAATTGATAGTTAACGCTTTATAATATCAAATAAGGAATAGTAAGTTTGAGACACGATGCATGAATGTGAGCATTTTTTATGAGAACTTGAATATGCATTCGTTACATTATGAGAGAAGGTTCTTTTTTACCTCTTATTAGACCCAATAAGCACTAAATAGGGCTATATCTATCAACGAGCATTTAAATATTAGTTCCTAAGGTTGTGAAGAACTAACCTTTCTCACTAAATTCAACATAGTTTGGGATAAATTTAGAGGGGGTTAGGGTGGCAATTGCCCCCACCCTCCAATCACTCTTTGAAAAAAAAATTAACAATTTTGCTTGTAACAAATGTTAAAATAAATTTGGCTCCCTCACTTCATGTTACATTTTCAATTTTGCTCCCTCATACATTGGTTCCTGAATTTGTTATTGAACATAGTTGGTTTATACTTCATATTAAATTAGTTGGTAATTGACACATTGTTGCAAGATATAAAAATGAAAAAAAGGCCTGAAAAGAAGAGACTAGGATGAGCTATTATTGCTATTGTTGGGCTTCGCTGCCCGATATTTCCATGAATTGAGATTATATCTGTATGAGTGTTTGAATTTTTTTTACTAAAACTATAGTTATTGACACATAATCAATTAAAAGTGCCTATCTAAACAAGCACCATAAGCCCGTTTGAATTTCAATTAAATATAATTAATTATAAAAATAATTTATTAATATAATTAATTTTAATTATAATTAATTATGTTATCACACAATATGTTTCGATGTTATTTTTTTGAAATTAATTTTAGCCGTACAAATTATCATAAAAGATATTGCTTTTTAAAGTTTAATCATTGATGAAGCTATTTTTATATATTAAATTTGTTAAAATTTATTTAAAGGTAAAATATATTTTTAACAGTAAAATTAAATTTATAAACAACCTTTCAGAATTTATTTTAAAATATAATTCTGATTTAATAATCAATTATCAACTTTTTTGATTGTTTGGGTAATTTTTTCAAAAAACAGTTATTTTAGCTCAAAAATTGATTTTTCTTTAAATCCAAACAGTTTGTATATTGTTGACCTGAGCCGATCAATAGGGCTGCTCGCTTTGAATTGTGTTTCTTTAGCATTGATCGACTTTTTATTCAAATTTAAGCCCTCAGTTTAGGAACCGTACACCCAGCTATTGCAAGGAATTAATGTACCAATACACGCACATGTAGCAATAAAAGCTACACTATTCATAAACAATTGACCTCCTCACTTTAAACTCCGTGTAAATGAGACCATGTTTAGTTTATAACTCCTCACTTTAAACTCCGTGTAGTGAAACCACGTTTAGTTTATAATTCTTTGGTTCTATTTATGGGATAGAAAAAAAAAGATTAGTTTTGATTTTATTTATATAACATTTCATTATTTTTTCACATTCATATTTATTTTTTTATTTTTATTACTAGAAAAATTATCAATTTTTTTTGTCATTGTTAGGGCAGAAGTAAAAATGCATTAAATTTTAAAGAAAAATTAATGAAATTTATTTTTTTTAATTATGATAAAACATGATAGCAATCATTTATAAATAAGATTAAAGAGATATATGAATGGTCATATCTAAGGTAGTTCTCAACATTCAAGATTTGACTACCAACGCTCCTCAAATTTCTATTAGTTATTACGATATTGTTTTACCGGCGACAAAGTGCACGCCAGGGTAGTTTATTCCAATAGACACAAAGTGCATAAAATTCACACACACACATATATATATTATAATAATTCCATACTATGGGTAGGGTAGATAATATATAATATTGAGATGGAGGAGGAGGAGGAGGAGTTGATTTAATTAAGAGGTTGGGGAAGTTGGGAGATGGGAAAATAGAGAAGGTATTAAATGAGAAATGGAGGCACAGCATTGCACCGTAATTATGACAAATGTTGGATACAAATGGAGGCATGCATGTTGTTATTGTCGGTCAAAAGCAACCATGCTCCACGCAACTGTTGTTTTTGGACCACAAAGTATTTTAGGAAAGCCATACAAATCCCCACAAAAGCACATGTGGTCCTCCTTCTTCATGCAATCAGATGCCATGCCACCCCCCCAATTCCTCCTCATATTGGAATGAAACCTTTCCTGAGTGCCCTACCCACACACCCAAAAAAATTCCGTTTATGATAAAAATATAACATCGCGTGTGATTTATCTGTTAATGTTATTTTTTTTATAAATATTCACAGATTATTTAATTTCACGATTTTATAAAGAGAATCGGAATATTTGTACCTGTGGACTTTTCAGGACGTTGAGCACTTGTCATGCCTCTACAATGATGTGAGGCTAAAAAATTTACGACACCGAGTCCGTCCATTTTCATTTTCCTAAAAGGAATTGTTCTGATATGTTTAACATGCCTTTTCCATCTATCGTCTTTTAAAATGAATTGGGCAGGCAAAAAGAATAGGTAAGGATTAGTGCTTTGACACCGAACTCATGCAAATATTGAAGATTTATTAGAGATTGTTATTATGTCATCAACCATGTGAATTTATTTGTATAGAGTATGATTAATTTAAAGTCATTTTATGATATCATTACTTGATTTTAAAAATATATTAATCATAGTAATTGAGCTAAAACAAATTTCTCCTGTGTCCGCTCCCCCTCCCCCAAAAAAAAAAAAAAAAAAGCTTGTGTAAATACTTAGACATCTTTAGAGAAGCCACATACGTTAAGTTTGTTTGTGAACCTTCCAGGCTGTGGGCGCCGAAGAAGACAATGTGAAGTTGCTTCCCGATCGAATTTACTTGTTAGTACTACTATTTATTTATTATTACCCCTAGTGTATAGCTGCCACGTGCTTCTCTTCCTTCCACACAGTCAATAAATACCTCCAATAACTCATAGGATCCATAGTATTCCCTAGGCTTTGCTAGCCTCGCATGACTTCAAGTTACATTTTAAAAAGTAAAAACAGTAAAAATTACTTTAAAATATTTTTAATTAATTTTATTTCTAACAATAATATTTATCTACTTTTTAATTAATTTTATTTTTTATATTATTTTTATTAAATATCTTATAATAAATATAAATTTATTTATTAATAAAAATAATTTAAAAAAATAATAATTATACATAAAAAATTAAAAATATCTTACATTTTTAAATAAAAATGTATTCATTACTTATTTTTTTTGGAAACACATTTAAAAATTATTTAAATAAATTATTTACTGACAAAAAATTAATAACAAATTTCATCATAAAATTATTTTTTAATTTTAATATCAATATATTTTATAATAATTTTTATCCATAAATAATTTTTTGCAGTAATACTTGCATGTGATTCTCTTTATTTTTTTTATATATCATATTAACTGTTTATTTTTTATCATATTTTTATTTATTTATTGAGATATTTTTACATCTCTTCATTAAATTTTAATCACTAAATAATAGTTTTTAAAAAATTTTATCTATTAATTATAAATAACCAATTCACCAAATTTTTTAATTTTACAAATTAATTAATAGCATGTTTAAGTGAACAGAGTAGTATCACGGATAATTGATGCACAATGGAAAAATTAATAGAACCTACTCTGTTTAATGATGTCAGTCTTGACAAAGTTAAGCCACTTGTTTAAGAAGACAAGCGAACAATCGCCTTGGGCGGAGACAAAGGTCGACCATGTTAAGATGCTCGAATAAGGTTTTTGTTTGTGTGGGACCCTAATCCTGAGGTGACCGAAAATTCTCAGACAAGTAGACGACCTGCAGTTCACCCTGTGAGGTAACTTGCTCTTGCCCGCGAGAATGGTGGACACAGGGCATTGTCAAGCATGAAGCAGAAAGAGAGGATGCCAGCATTCAGCTTTTCAATCAATCAATCAATTGCTTTTAAAGGGCAAAAACAATAATCGAGGTTTGCGTTTGAAATTTGAATGTTGGTAGAGAAGGATGGAAGTAACAGAAAAAGAGGTTAAAAGGAGGGAAGAAGAAGGGCTCATGGCGGACAAGTTGAAACGGCGCGTTTTGGTGGGGCTAAGAGGTGGACCTTCTACGCCTCCACCCACATGGAGGCTCGAGCTTTCTTCTTCGTCTCACCTTCAGAGTGGCGGTGAAAACGACGACGTTCGAGAATTCGTCGACTTTACGCCCTCTACCATTTCTGCCAGAAAGCTCTGTGCCAACGTCTGGGAACTTCAACCCCACCATCTACAGGTTCAGACCTCACTTCCTAATATGACCAAACCGGTCACCAGAATCCGCCGCCGCCGCCGCCGCCGCCGCAAGGACGAGCATCCACAGAGGCCCACTGATGAGGTTTCATCTCAGCTTCTGCTCTGCTCTGTGCCTTCTAGTTATTATTAGTTTCTGGGCTGTCATTTCCCTAATATTTGTGCTGCTTCATCAAGCACTAATGGTCTCTGATTTTTGTTTTACTCGAATATGTATGACTCTTCTGCTTGTTTGTGGTTATTTCACATTCATTCGGGCTTTCATTGATGTGCGTGACCAGATCTTGTGCTTCACCGTGTTTTTCGTTTTCTAATGTCCTTCAGTTTACAGCTTGTTATGCTGAACGCTTGCAAGTGAATTGGTTCTTACATGTATGAAGCTATGGCAGTTTTTCTATTCTTTTTATTTATGATTGATGGTTGATTCTTTGCAAGACTTGATAAAGTTGTTGATGTGTTTGCTATGAGGTCCTCCAATAGAAATATAGCATTCGAATATTTTTCTTTTACAATCCTATTATGTTATTGAAGAACATCATTGTAAACACTTTAGAAATTGAAATTAAATTCTTTCCTTTTATTCTTTCCATGTGCTTTAAATCTTGCTTGTTATGAGGAGCAATGGAGCATCAAAGTGTGATTATTTCTATGAAACCTTATCGTTCTCTAGCCTTTCTCTATGACAGTATCGACTAATATAGTCTGAAATGTCCAACCTCCTAGCAACTAGGTAGGAGCGGTTAATGAAGGGGTGGCTTATTTTTCATGTTGTCACTGCTCTTATGCTTTTAAATCTTGCTGTAGAAATGGTGACCTTTATGGTCTTAACTTTTTTTTTTTTTTTTAATTCCGTGTAATGCATGAGTCCATCTATCTAGTTTTGTTAAATTTGCATAATTCAAACAAAAATTTGTCAAATTCAGTCTATTAACATCCATTCAAATGTAAAATTGAATTCACATTTAGGAAGTTGTTATTGTGGCCTGGAACGTTTAGTATGGTTTTGCTATTCAGCAAACATTTAAACGTGTGGTAGGTGGAGTGGACCTCCTTTATATCATTTTATCCACATTATTTGTTGAGAGTGTAGTATAGAAGCTTGCCTCCTTAACCTACCTTACAATTTTCCCTCTATATTGTTTGTTGAAAACGTGTATAGCTTCCTTCCTTCCTCTTATCTTCATAACTCCTCTTCTTCCTCTTACAAGATAGACGCCAATCTGCTTGTTGAATTTTATATTTAAATATTTGGGTAATCGCTTGATTGTACGGTGATGTTTGTGGATTTGAAATGGTGCTTAATATTGCAAGTCCAAATGAACAGGTAAAACCTTGGTTGATTTCTCTTATAACTGATCTTCCTTGCATGCTTCTAAAGTGATGCTGTTAGATAATAAATTTGTGATGGGCTGCTGTAATTATCATGAGTAATGAATGGATATGTGTTTGAGTATTTTTGCTTTTGATCTTAAAATTGTTCTTGAAGAAGAGATCGATCATTTGAGTCTGATTACTCTGATTTGGCCTTGCCAATTAAATGCCATCTCTTTTGAATAGGTAAGTCATGCATGCTAGATTTTCTTTGCTTGGAATGATTTTTTTTTTTTTCCCAAAAGAAAACTTAACTTTGCCTATAAATAAATTTCCTTTTTCAGTGCTTTTAGGATTTATAAAAAAAAATTATTGTTCAAGTTGTCAAATCCTTTTCCTTTATATGTAATCAAGTTTTGTAGGCGACAACATATTTAGAGAAGTGGGAGAAAGATGATAAGATAGAGATAATTAGCTATCTCAATCAGGAAAAACCTTAGTGGTAATAAGCTTTGCCTCATCATCTTTCTCTCACTTTTTTAGATATGTTGCGGCTTACAAAATTTGATTATATAACAGAAAAAGATCTAACAACTTTAGCAATAAAAATTATTATAAACCTAAAAATCACCCTAAAAAGGAAATTTATTTACAAAGCTAATAAAAAAATCTTTTAGGCAAAACCTGAAAAAGGTATTTAGTTCGCTTGACTTATTAGTTCAGGTGTGATGGCATATAATGACAAGGTTAGTCCTAAATGTTATTGTGCGCCAATAAGAATTACTTAAGTTGGATATATAACAACAAAGAAAATATTAGATTATAAAATTCAATGAGTAAATTGGCATCGAACTTGTGACAGGAAGGAGAGAAATTACTCTATAAAGTTGAAAAGTGTTTTTCTGGTACGGCCAGGTTCCCCTACATACAACCAGCTCAAAAATTTGCAGAATAGCAACACCATAAAAGAGTTTTTTCAGACCACACCAACCACCTCCCAAATGTGAATTTGGTTTTGCCTTTAAATGAGTGAATATTATATCAAACGTAGCTTGACTTAATTTTTGTTTTAGATTATGCAAATTTAACATGACTATATCTCTGGGTTCATGGGTTGTGACGTGTGAATAGAGTGACTTACCATGTGCCTCCTTGCAGCCAGCTTCACCGAATAGCTTGAGTAGACATGTTGTGACTTTGCCTGTTCAGAGCCATAGATCATGTGACAGAGATGGCTGTATTTTGGAGCCTTTATCAAGTGCAAGTTACAGTGGCTCCCTGGAGGTAAGCATTTTTTTTTTTTTTGGGGAACTAGTTGGTGCATCGATACAATTGAAGGAAACATGATTTCTTATAGTTTTGCCTAAGAATTTAAGCTGTTAATTCCGATAGTATGAATATCACATCAGGAAACGCAAAATTGATACACCATATATTAGGAAAATACATTCTTGAGTTCAGCAAATTTATTTGAGGGGAATTTTTTTCATTGAAAGGCTTTTCTGATCTGATCATTCTGGGAAAGGGTGAGGAATTAGAGTGACCGTTCCAAGGACCTTGTGTTTTATTTTACTGTAACACTTTAGATTATCCTGTCACCAAATAACTACTCTTCAATTTCAGACCCATAATCATTGGGATCTCTTTCAGTATTTGCTTACCTTTTACAGCTGAAATATTATGGTTTACTTGGTTTTTTCCTACCAAATATCAGTCCAACAATCTCTCTGGTTCATAAGAACCAAAAAATCACTTAGTCTGTTAGTCTATGATTTAACAATTTGGGTTGAAGCTTTATTAAATGAACTTCATACCCAAATTAAAAGTCATTCATCATTTCTTGCTTATTTAAAGAGATGAAGGTGCTCTTTTGCTTAAAGCAGGTGGCGCCATATAATCAGGCAGTGACTCCTGTGAGTTCCTTCAACTTCAAAGGGAGGAGGATGGGAGAGTCAAGTTGCAACGTTAAAACTTCAAGAGAGCTACTCAAGGTACTCAACCGAATATGTAGTCTTGAAGAACATCATGCTTCAAGTATATCAGTAGTGCAAGCCCTAAAAATGGAACTGGACCTTTCTCGTGCACGGGTTAAGGAGTTGCTACAAGAGAAGCAGATGGATAGGCAAGGAACGGAGCATTTGATGAAGAAGATGACAGAGGACCAGCTTGTCAGGAAGAACCTCAAAGAATTTGACAAAATTAAAGCTGCATTTCAATCAGCCAAGGAAGAGCTTGAAGATGAGAGGAGGTTAAGAAAGCATTCAGAAAGCATGCACAGGAAATTGGCTCGGGAGCTTTCTCAAACGAAGTCTTCTTTATCTGGTTCTTTGAGAGAGCTTGAAAGGGAAAGAAAAGCTCGGATCCTGTTGGAGAATCTGTGTGATGAGTTCGCCAAAGGAATTAGAGCTTACGAACAAGAGGTACGTTCCCTTGGGAGGTTGAAGTCAGAGAAGGGCCATGTAGATAGAGATCACAGCCTTGATAGACTAATACTTCATATTTCAGAAGCTTGGCTCGATGAGCGTGTACAAATGAAGCTGGCCAAAGTTGGGGATGATCTTGAAGAGAGAAGTTCCATTGTTGACAAGCTAGGTTTCGATATCGAGACATTTCTTCATGCAACCCGGTCTATTGATTCCAAAAGATGTGGTCACTCCTCTCCAAAGGAGCTCAAAGAAATTCACCCATGTCGGCATTCTCTGGATTCCTTTCCACTAAAGGAGGCTACAAGTGCACCACAGAATATGGCCGAGGAAGATTCTATTTGCGCCAATTTTTCTGTTCTAAAAAGTGCGGAGGCCCACCTGGAAGAGAGAGGAATTGGAAATTCAGCAACCAAACCAGTTCAGGCCAGGGAATTCACCGAGTCCAGTCATTTCCAAGAAAACATGGCCCAGAAGAATATGTCACGTGATGAAGGTCATGACAGTGAGAGTTGGCCTGTAGAAAGAAAGCCAAGTGAAATAAGAGGAGACACCAACACTGCCTTGTTAAATGACACTGAAGTATCAACTGTGTGTGAATCAACGCCAGGTCCACAAGAAAGCGTTAGGCCCCGGATGAGGAGCATGAACTCGATTCACCGGCTCGATAATGTGGTTGGGAACAGCTCAATGTCATCAGAAGGTGATAAAATACATCCTGAGAGTATTTGCAGGGAAGATTCTTTTGTGCAATCTGTGGTAACAGGCAATGGAAGCCCTGTAGAACAGAGGAAATCAAAATTGAGTCTCTCAAATTTGAACAAGTGTGAATCTATTTTGAAGTTGCCCAGGGGTGTGAAGGAAAATACATTGATGGCAAAACTTCTTGAAGCAAGGTTAGAGGGACAGAAATCTCGCTCCAGAACTAGCAAAAGCTCTTTTAGATCAACCAGAGAAATTTCTGACGACAAGATTGGAGTGTGAATAGGTGCAATCTAAGAAGCTCATATCCTTGACAATGGAGTTGTATCATTTTGTTATATACATGTCTATATCATTTTCTGTCTCGGATCTATGTTCTTTATGTGGCTGCTATCCCACTGGAAACATTGATTACTCATTAAGCAGTTATTATAAGTTTCTCTCTTTTTGTTATATCTATAAGATCTTCTATGGTAACTTCTAATAATATAATACCTTTCTACTTTTAATGACTCGTTAAGCAGTTGTTATAACTTCTATTATTAAAAATACTCTTCCCGAATGCAAAACAAAATTGACCCAGTTCGCCCTTCACTTTTTCTTTTTTCTTTTTTAAATTTAATTAAGGGTAGGTCTGATAAATTTTAAAGTTTTATACACATAACTAATTTTTTTCTTAATCCAAGAAAAATAGTTATTAGGTTCTTATGATATAAATCAGAAGGAATGGTTCATATAACTTCACCAGCTAGGTTAGTCTTCGATACGCAATAGTGGGGTTGAAAAATAAATATAAATATTGGTAACCTTGTGCGCAATCGGACAGGTTGGGAGGCTATAGTCGTCTTTAAAACTCAGACACGAGTTCAAATTTTATTTGAAACCAAATTATCTGTGGGATAGGCGAACCAATTAGCAGGATCGGGATGCAATGAAGTTAAATCGTACGGTATAAGATCTCACAAGAAGATGCCACCTAGGAAAAAGAAGTGATTGAAGAAAATAAATAAAATATGTTTTGTAAAGCAAGCAAGAATTATGTAGATAATTACTCCGTTAAAAAATATAAAGTATTTTTTTAGAAGTTGAATATTAAAAAATGTATAATATTTTTAATCTTTTAAAATATAATTATTGTTTTTTTTTAAATATTTTTATTGATAATGATTTTATATTTATTATAAAGTATTTAATAAAAATAAATATATAAAAATAAAATTAATTTAAAAAATAAATAATTATTTTATTAAAAGATGAAATTTAATTAAATAAATAAAATAATCTCAATGCAAGAAAGAGAAAGATAAGGAAACTAAAAGACCAGGCTATGGTCAAACACAAAATCAACGTGTTCTTGTATGATTTGATAAAGAATATTTTATATGAACAAACTGATGGTATTTAACACGTCAACATGTTCTGATACTACATGATGATCTCATGTGGGCTTAATCTCAAGAACAATTAATTATTTCGTTCCGCACAATGAAGAATAGAATAGTGCTTTAAATGATGTTTTTTATTCAATGGTTGATAGATTAGGTTGCGTTAATTATAATGTAAGGAGGTGATGCTCGGATTGAAGCACACTAATTAATGAAATAAAATATTTCAAAATAATAATAAATAGTATTAATCAATTCATAATTCGTTTTGAAATATCATAAGGTATTATAAAATATCCAATAGTTAGTTAATTTTTTGGATGTTCTTGAGCAAGACTTATGCACTCAGCACTCCTCCGTGCATGTAGCGAATGTTGTAGATAAATTTGCAATCCCAGTTAATTGGATAATTAGCAATCAGCATCGTCACAACCCTGCTATCTTTGCGCATGAGTTCCGAAGCTATTGCGAATTGGTATTTTTTTTCTAGGGAAATTAATTCACATACTTTTATAGTTTTAAATTATTTAATTAGATATTTATAGTTTATTTTGTTTTAATCAAATCCTCATAGTTTAATCTATTAAATATATTAAACTATTAATATTAAAATTATTAATGAATTATAAACTTTGTAACAAATATTTTTAAAATTTTTAGAAAATTTGATTTAATAATTTTGGGGGAAATAAAAAAAATTGAAAGAAATAACTTGAAGATTGAACTTTATATTACTTAAAATATTAAATTTACATATACATTCAAGGAAATGCATGAATAGAATCAAGAAAATGACCTGATCTCGTAAGGCTGACCTGTTTAAGCCTGATAGTTGCCAGGGTTGAGCTCGAGGTTTAGATCTTTAAAACATAAAATAGGCTTATAAGGGCTAACCCTTTTAAGTTTTTTATTTTTTTTAAAAATTTTAGTTATTGTGCTAATATTATTAATATTTTTGACATTATTGATAATATTTTGAACACTTAATTGTTATTTCATTTTTTTAGAATTGAACTTACATAATAGTTTAATTTGTTTAATTTCAGATAACGATTTCATTATACAAACTTTAAAAAATTGTTTCATTTAATTTAAAATGGAGATTGATTTGATTTACGGTATGTTTGTGCTTTAATATTTTTAAATTATATTTTTGACAAAAGAGTATTTTTCACATTTCTACAATTTGAGATTTGAATTAAAAATTTATAAATTTTAATATTTTATTACTTGAAATAGAAGTTCTTTCTGCATAATCATGATACTAATGAAACTACTAAAGTTCAAATGCTATTGTCATATTAAAATTTAAAGAAGAATCGTTTGATTTAATTAACTTTTAACAATGGTTAATGTTTAAGCTTGTTAATATTTATGACATTAATTCAGAATTTTATAATACTTTTTTATTTTATGTATTTATTTAAAAAATATTAAAATATATAAAAACGCCAAAGCCAACAGAGTTGGCCCTGGACCCACAAGGTTGAAAGTTGAGCTTTGTAAATAAGATTTTTTTTTTTTTTGCATAAATGAGTTTTTCAAACCCAATCCTCTTAAGTATGAGCTCGTTAAGGACGAACCATTTAAAGTTGAGCTGGCCCATTTGTCCACCTCTAAATAATATGATATGATTGGAATATTTGAGGATACCAAAGAAGGAAAATAAATAATGAAATAAATATATAAATATAAACCAAAAAAGAACCATGTATGATAATCAAGAAGAGAGAGAAAGACAAGGAAAAAGAAAAAAAGCAGAAGTGGTCAAAGCACAAATTTAACGTGGGCTGGTATGATTTGATAGAAGAGTATTTATTATAAAACAAACTCACATTTAATATGACAACATATTCTCATGTGGGTTTAATCTGAAGAACAATTATTTCGTTCCATATATATAGGCACATCAAGAATCGAATAATACTTTACATAAATTAATTTAAAATTGAATGGTTGATTATATGTGTAAATTAGCTAGGTTGCATCAGTAATAAAATAAGGTGATGCTCGGATTAAAGCACAGTTATGAAATTTTCGAGTGTCCATAGTGCGTGGACCACTAAAGAAAAAGAGTGTTCCCATTCTAGAGTTTTTTTTTTTTTTTTCCCTTTTTCAGAGTTTATTAAGATATATTTTGCTTATAGCTAGTCATTAGTCAGTTTCTTAATCAAATTAACTGTATTATCCTCTTTCGGTCGATTTATGAGCCAGTTTGGTTCTCTCGTGTGTGCTTAATTTGAAAGAACGCTGCTCTCATCACTTTATTTACGCTTCAATAATAGAATATTACATTATACATGTATTTTAATTGAATGATTGAAATGCACAAATTAAACTAGCTAGGTTTGATAATAATCCATATCAATATATATAAGGTATGAAATATATATAGGGATCGGAAATGCAATATTATTAATAATTAATATGACCTTTATATATATATATATATATATATATATTACAGATTGCACTTAAAATGAAATCTTGGTGGAATGTTTAATGGAGTATTAAGCAAAGATGCAGCTACTTTTACATGTACGGACTTATTTTTTGTTACACTAGGAATTTTTGATATTAACTTCTGAATTTTACTTTTAAGTAGTGATCAAATCAGCCTGGTTGTTTTATGTATATTCATTAAATAACACATACCTTTTTTAGAAAAAAAATCATTTTTGATGACTTTTAATATATTTACTTAATTTTTTTAAATGAAAATAATAAAAGTATTATATTTAATTTATAATTATTTTGAAAATTTAATCAGAACAGTTTCTAAACATAATTATGTAGATTAAAGAGAATGTTAATAAAAATAATAAGGAGATGGTAAAAATATTGTAAAATTTAAAAATCATTAAACATTGTATCTTTTTTGTGATTTTGACTATACATAAAATAAATACTTTTCATGAAAAATCTAAATAATAAATCATTTTTTATAGTGATCAATTGTATCTCATTATCTTGAATGTGATTACCAGTGTTATTAAACTTGGACTGGATCGAACGGTTCGATCGTCACCCACTGAGTAAAGTGGTCTGATTCAACCAATTGAATCACTTCAGCTGTTGGATTGGATTGACTCAGACAGAACCATCCAGTTTCCATTGAACCATAGTTGACCCGAAACTTGGAGCCAGTTCAACATGGGTCAATCCAGGTCAAGTTAAAAAATAAAAAAAATTTAGGGCTTGTACCACCATACGCAACTCATCTAAGACTCAAGAAATGAAGAAACAAAGGCATAAAGCACAAACCACAGAGCCACAGATCGATAAATGCCGTCACGCCATACTCCAGACTCCACAGAGGTATAAACGTGAGTTGAGAGCCTGAGAGCTGACTAGCTGAGACCTCACCTCTGAGTCTCTGACCTAAGACCTCATTCTCGTAGTCTCGCCGTCTTGCGATCACGGCTTGCCTGACCTCTCACACTCACAAAGTCACAGTCTCACTCTCACTCTCACACCCTCAGACTCAAAGCTCAAGACTTGTCTCTCGTTGGTTTGTCGTCTCGCGCCTTTGGTCTCTCTCTCGCCTCTCTCTGTTTCTCATCTCCAATCAACTGATCAAGCTTTAAATTTGAAATCTCACTCAAATCTCATCTTGTATTCTGATTTTGATTTGTCCCCTTCTTGCATCCCACTCGCCATTCTCAGCCTAGACCCAGAGTTCTCATCACCATTCTCGCTCGCCACTCTAAGCTCGTACCTCTACCCCTGCCTCTACTAGAGTTGCCTCCAGCTCCTCCCAGCTCTAGCTCGTGCCTCTGCCTCTGTGTGATTCTCATTTTGCTCTAGCTTGTTTGATTCTCGGTGTGCTCTTCTCTCTTTCCAGGTTTGATTTTTAGTTTATATATTCTATCTGTGTATTTGAGTTTGTATAATGAGCAGTATCTATACACGATTCGTCCAGCCATTTATCTATATATGCTTGTTTGCTTTATTTTTCATTGCTTTATTATTTATTGATATGGAATTTTGAATATGATCTAATTCCTGGCTCTGCTCTCTTTTTCACGTTTTATCTGTGCTTTCAATTTAAACTTAGAAAATGTCATC